TAACAGCAACTGAGGAAATCAGAGCAATGAGCCCGCCACGCCACGAAGGCGCTTTGGCCCCATGCGGTTTGGGATTAGGGTTTAGGGTCTAGGGTTTAGGGTCAAAGGTTTTGCGGGGGTTCAGGGTTTCTTCGCAGGGAAGGTGGGTAGACGGAAGTTCCCTGAACAAAACAATGTTCATGTCATTTCTGGCATCCAGAATCATACGAACCACTTGAAACTGCAATTCTATCAGGATTCCTGGAACTTAGAGGTAGGAAGGCGCTCAACTTGGTACAAGGTTGAAACTGATAGTGTAGGCTTTGTTAAGGGAATTGGCCATGTCACATTCTAAGCGTCCTGCTGCACTTTGGCTACTAACTAGTGTCATGCGCTTCCGAAGCTTATCGGCGCGCAACATGCAGCCGATTTTCCGCTTCCCCTTGCTGGCTGGGCTGGCCTGTTAACGAACAATCACCATGCGCCAAAGCTGGTTCTTGCTAAGTTGGACGTCGTGCACCTGCGCCCGACCATGTCCTAGAAGTATTTGAAGCTGCAGCCGCAGCACAGCAAGCATCCAGAGCCTTTCAACAAGGAGGCGCTGTCACTGCAACACTGCTCTTTCTCCTCTGGCCTCATTCAATACTTCAAAGAAGTTGTCAATGGATCTAAACGGGATGTGAGTGTCATAGCAAGCCCTTCACTTGCCCATCAGCTTACAAGACATGCTGAACTCGGCTAGAGTAGGAAATGAGCATGTTCTTGCAGGTAGAGCTAGGCTTTAGCATCTGCAGGTTCCAACTATTTAGATATCCTGCATGGCAAGGAATTGCCATCCTAATTGCTGGCTGCCAAGTTAGGCACCACGTGAATCCGACTCGTCTGTCTGATATGGTAGTTTCCAACACAAGGGTATCCTTTTTTTCACGCCAAAAGACTAGAACCACCATTATAAAGACCAACCGAAAGGGGCCCCCCAGCTTCTGGAAACACCCTGTCTTGTTCTGGAATGAGGTATCGTCCAAGAGCCCGTGAATAGCACCATCTAATGTTGGAGCCCAAACAGACAAAAGGTTTAGGGTTTTAGGTAGTGTAGGCTTCATGGGATACATCTCAAATTCTAGTCATCTAAGGATTGTGTCGCGGCAGTCTCTGTAACACTGAGTTCTTTACATCCCTAGAAGCCATATATAGACTTGGATTCCAAAAAGCTTCCATTATCTTTCCCACTTGGTCGTCTCCTATTCAAGCCCTCAACCCGATAAACCCGATGCATCCCTCTTACCTCTGGCATGACACCTAGGAGAACATGGATCTTAAACGGTTTTAAGTAGAACTTCTGCATGACCCTAAGTGCACTAAAGCTTGATAACCAGGGGAGTTTCTGACATTAAGGTCGTGCATTTCTAGTATTACCTGTAGCTACACCCTAACCGTAAACCCCGAAGCCTAAACCCTAAACCCAAGGCTCTTGGGCATCCTGTGTCTCATTCCAGACATGTTCTTCCAGAGGGTAGACCGCCAAGAGGCGGTGTTTTCCTCGTCGCCGACTCGTGCGTGAATCGCACCTGGATCAGATCCTCTTCCCTAATACTCGGGTTTAGGGTTTAGGGTTTAATGTCGAATGACCCCCCCCTGGATGATAACAATTTCCCCTTCATTACGTAAGGGTACTATTTTGGGTGTATTTCTCATTGGAGGGGGTGGGGGATTCATTATCACCTGGACCCCAACAATAGGTAAAATGCTAGCCCAAAAGCCTCAAAAATTGCCCAAAAGGCAATTATCCTACATACGTTTGGAGATCAGGTATTCCCTAAACCCAAAGCCCTCTACACCCTGGAAGGTTCATTGTTAGGCAGGGGATGCAGATCCGGGACCTCATGAAAGACAGAGAGCCTTCACGGCGCAATTTGGATAGTCTTAACAGGATGGACTGGTTGACCTCCCTAAGGGTCCAAGGACCGAAAAAAAAAGCAAGGCTTTAGGGCCCACATACGATTGATATTATAGTAATTGGGTCCTGAAGCCCTATTATTTGGGTCCTTGGGCCCTTGGGTCTCCTTCAATCTACTACGTAAGGAGGACTTAGAGGGTCTACTAGTCCATCGTGATACTGTGTAAGTCCATGTTACTATATTCCGGCATTCTGACTTTGCATCCAAGCTTCATGTGAGCTATAGTCTAAACTCCTTCAAGGGCTACATAGGGGATTATACTTACTATAGGGATTACTAAGGGGATACTAGGAGTTTAGACTACCTGAACCCAAAAGTATGTTTAATATTGGCCTTTATGGCGATCATTATGGGTTTAGGGCTATTATTTTACATACTTTTGGGGTTTAGGTATAGCTCATGTGAGAGCTGTTTTCTAGTTTTGCAGTGGACGTGGGCGCCTTTCAAACTTTCACAAAGATCCGAAGAGAGGTCTGGCTGCCTCCTTCCAATCCCGAAGGTTTAGGGTTTAGGTTGCTGTAGGTTACAATATTGGGTTCCTAGCATGGGCCCGCAATCCTGGCTTCCACACACATGCACGCAACTAGTGTGCACCAGAAATGCGCATATAAGGGTCCCTCTACCCTCGGAAGGTTGAGGGCCATATTAAATGTTGGAGGCCCATATTTCTAACTGTAGAGCTTTCCATTTAGCATGTACCACTATGGGCTATTAGACCCTAAAACTCCCTATTAGGACCCTATTAAGGGTAGATTAAGGTACCCTTAAGGTCTAAGAGCCCATAGTGGTACCTGGGCTCAGAGTGCCTTTAGTGTGCAAGTCCTTCTTCGCCCCGTGCCTTTGGCAGTTTGCAGTGCAGATTGAAGAGGCCAATAGGCATTTAAAAGTGTATGAAGGTTAGGATTGACAAAGTTTAGTAGGGTTTAGGGTTTAGGGTATTATAGCAGTAGTATTAGTGGTGGTGGTGGTAGTAGTAGTAGTAGTAGTAACAACCCAAGAACCCCTACATATACAATATGAGCCGTGTAATATGGGTACTTTCCATGTTCTTTTCCATTCTCCCAAGTAGGCACTAAGCCCTAAGCCCTGGAAACCCTAAACGATTAATATTTAGGGTTTTGGGCTGAGGGTGGATGGGAAGTGCAGCCATCCGCTCCGAACTTCGTAGCTTCGGCAGATCTCTACTTAAAGGACTCTGACGCTAGCAAATGATTTGAAAGGCTAAAAGTAAGGTTTGGGGTTTAAGTTCTGGGGTTTGCTGTTTATGCGGGAAAGCGTTTGCTGTGGTGTACTCGGAACCTGTCAGCCCTATAACGCCTAAACCCACTCCCTGAACCAGAGTTCCTTGAAAGTGGGGTGCCTCCTTTCAGGGAGATCTTGAGATCTACCTAAACCCCAAAAGTATGTAAAATAATAGCCCTAAGCCCATAATAATAGCCCTAAGGGCCATTATTTTACATACTTTTGGGGCCCAGGTAGCCGATTATGTTGCATCAAGATCTCAGAAGCTTACCGCCGAGTCCTAGGGCGTACTACTTTGGGTTTAGGGTTTAGGGTTTAGGGTTTAAGGATATTTTACACAAATCCAGAACCCTAAGAGTCCAAGTATCCAGTGTTTACGTACTGAAGATTTCGGCAACGGGGATTGTACTACAGCTTCGGAAAAGTAGATGGTCATTGGGCATTCAAACTTCCTAAAACCTGAGCCTTGCACCATAAATTCTGAAGCCTGTCTAGATCCCTAAACCCTAAACCCTAGATCTCAACAGTAGGTAAAAGGCATGGCCCCAAGCTCATACAAGCAGCCCAAAAATTTGTTATTCTACATACTTCTGGGGTCCAGGTGAGGCCTACGTTACAACCCTACCTGAACCCCAAAAGTATGTAAAATAATGGCCTTTATGGCTATTATTATGGGTTTAGGGTTATTATTTTACATACTTTTGGGGTTTAGGTAACCCTAAAACCTTAGTATCTGAACCCTGAATCCTAATCCCTAAGCCTCAATCCGAAACGACTTGGACCGTTCGGATCTGAGATCACATGGTCCTTTGAATGACGACTGGTCATGGCCGATTGCGAAAAGTGTCACAAGAGGGTTTCGGGGTTCGGGGGTAGGTTTTAGGGCTTGCTGTTGCTTGGTGACGAGGTTGGCATGTGTTGCGAAAGGGAAGGGTGTTTCAGGATACAGCTAGAAACTGCAGGGTTGCAGGCTTGACCTTTTGCTGGAATGAGCTGGGATTAGCTCCCTGAAAAGGTTGCTGTCATTTTTCCTTTCTCCGAAACCAGGATCCCTCGTGAATCATCGAAGATCAAAGAAGGGTGTCCCTTCTCTACCTGAGTAGATGGGACAGCGCGAAGAATGAGACCCTAAACCCTAAACCCTAAACCTTAAACCCTAAACCCTAAACCCTAAACCCTAAACCCAAATCCTTGAATCCTGCTACCACGCCTGAGCAATGGGCTTTTCAAATTTGCATAGCCGGAAATTGAAATCCCTAAGCCCTTAACCCTAAACCTTAAACCTCAGACCTCCAGCCTGACCCTAAAAGCTCTATAGACCCTACGCCCCAAGGCCTAGCTTAACCTACCAAAACCTACTTTTTTGTAGGGCTTTATCCTAAACCCTAGTACAGAACATATAGGGAACCTACAATAAACTAGGTTTGCTAGGTTAAGGTAAACTCTAAGCCCTCAGCATTCATTCCGAAACCCTAAACCACGCGCTGGGCTCCGGACAGCAAAATCGTGCAATCCTAAGCCCGAAAGCTAATAAGTCCCAACCCCTGAAGCCTCCATCCCAAACCCAGAAGCCCAAATCCAAAGCCCTAAAGCCTGAATCCTATAAGTCCTACAAAGCCCATGTCCTGAACCCTAAATCTTAAACCTTAGGCTAGGGCTCCGGGTCTATAAGCAATACCTGCACACATTGCGACACTATAGATTTCACCTGCATCGGGCTATTTGGTTGGACCCTAAACCCTGAACCCTGAACCCTAAACCCTATAAACCCTAATCCCTAAACCCTAAACCCTAAACCCCAGTGGGCTGTAATTCGCTGAGGCGCCGAGGAAGAACCGAGACCACCGTGGGGTCCGCAGACGTGGAGCGCCTTGCGAGGGCCTTGGGAGCGAAGTTTAGGGATTTAGGGTTTAGGGTTCAGGGTTTAGGGTTCAGGGTTTAGGGTTTAGGGTTTCTAGGATTTAGGGTTTATAGGGCTTCGGGTTTAGGGTTTAGGGGTTCAGGGCTTGGGGTTTAGGAGTTGGGGTTACTTGGACCCCTTAAATACCCACAGTAGTTGTCTGTGTGCCACCGAAGTGGGACTTGCAGGCTATTCTGATGGGTACTTTGGAAAGGGCTTGCATCGACTCCCCAGTACCTATAACCACTGCCTGTAACCCCTAAACAGCTGAGCAAATTTGAACGATTTCACTCCACCTCACCTTGATAAATGGTGGTCTATACATAGAGTCAGCTGAATTTCGGGTTGTGAAGTTATTCTGAAATGGCCTCTTTTTTTGGAGGGGGGGGGGGCACCCTAAACCCTAGGCCCTAAACCCGTACAAAAAGTGCCAGAAGGATGCTGAGCGTCTATCACAATGGATGGTGGACCAGACCATGCTGCCGCAGTTTCAGCAGGCAAACAGGCGGAACAGCAAGATTTGCTGCTTTTACCCGGACCCCAAAAGTATGTAAAATAATGGCCTTCATGGGTATTATTATGGATTTAGGGCTTTATTTTACATACTTTTGGGGTTTAGGTATTCGCCACTTCCCCTTGTGGTGAGTACCTGGCAGCTGCGCCTACGCGCGCCGCACAGTATTTTTCGATGTTCAGCAAAACCGTTGGAAGCGCATGGCAGTCCTAAAAAGGCCCTAAACCCTAAGCGCCAGAGTCTAAGCCGCGTGGGATATTGGGGAGATCAAGGTAAGGTTAAGAGCAAGGCTCGGGTTGGGGTTTGTCGTGGCTGGGGATTACAGAGCTGCAGAGTCGGGTTGCGCAGGGTTAAGGGGTATAGGGGTTTAAGGGTTTACACAGGGTTACACAAGGATACATAGTTTTATATAGGGGCATATATACGGTTTAGGGCTTTTAGTTCAAACATGTTCTTGTTGTCAAGGGGGGGTCTCTGTAATTACCTGTCCTGGAAGGTAAAAGGGAGTTCAAGATTAGCAAAGCCAAGAAGAGATGTGATACATCTCCTAAACGCCCGCAAAGTCTGCAATCCGCAGCACGCTGAGACCCCAGCCCACCCCAGTTCTAACCTCGGCAGACTGCATGGTGTTTTTACCCAGACGAGAACCCTAAGGGTCCAAGGACCCCAAAAAAGGGTTTTAGAGCCCAAATTCTATAATATTAATGGTATTTGGGCCCTAAGCCGTATTATTTGGGTCCTTAGACCCTTACAGGAAGGGCTTTATGCCACTGCCGTAGAGGTATGCGAGAAGTAAACCGCAAAAGTTGCTCACATGAAACCCCACACCCAAAGCTCCTCGAACCTCCCCACCCAGAGTCAGTATAATCTACCATAATATAATACAATATATACTATGATGTATAACGGATATATTATGGTATATATTATAGTTCAAGTACTAAATACCTAGACCCTGAACTCTTGACTTGATCAAAAAATCAGTCTCAATGGACATGTCTTAGCAACAGCCCTTGCATAGTCCCAGATGAGGACTCCAGAATTGCTGACTCCCTACTCTTTCAAATTCCCAGATGCTGTTGATACTAAACATCCGGCATGGCCTTCATATACTATAATAAGAGGTACTTGGTGCCATGCAGGATTTTTAGTGTCCACCGTAACCCCAGGTGGTTGCGGCGAGGTCGAGTTGCAAAAGCCAAGTGGCAGCAGGATGCCTAGCAAAGGTTTGGGTTTCGGCTTTATGATTGAACATCACTTGTGTAGTTTGTTATAGACTTATGTGCGTTTAAAGGCAAGGGGGTATAAAAAAATACATATTCCAAAATACCTTGCACGGCATCAGTCTATAGTTTAGAGCGCAGGAAGTAGGGTTTAGGGTCTTGGACTCGGGGTTTAATTGGTGTCGGAGACTCGAGATCAAAGTTTAAAGGCCGGGTTTAGAGTTGCTTGTTTACTCTAAACCCCAAACCCTAAACCCTAAAACCCTAAACCCTAAAACCTAAACCCTAAACCCTAAACCCTTAGACCCTAAACAGGGCTCCGGGTTTCTCATCCTAAACCCTAAGCCCTGAACCATAGGTTCCCCTACGACCTCCCTCCACAACCCCCTGGGTTCCGCCTTGACCAGCTTTAATCTGCTCTATAATGGTCCTAAGCCAAAAGAAACCTAGGGGTTTTAGGGTTTAGGGGGCTTGTTAGTTTAGGGGCTTGAGGGCCTTGAGGGTGTCCTATCCAGGGTCTAGGTGTTTTGTTCACAACTCAACCGGCCATCGAGTTGGCCACCACCGAATTAAGAATTCCTCCTTGGCCCTCATGTTGACTAGCATACTCGTGGTTGTAAGGTATTGATTCGATCGATACCCGGTACAATGACGATAAAAGTATCATTCAAACGGTCATGTCATTGGGGGGGGGGTCAGTACATGCACAAAAAAGTTAACATGCACAAAACAAAAGTTTTACAGAGCTGGTGTGTTAGAACCAAGTCGTAAGATGGACACCCAAAATGGAACCTCAGGTGCAGCTTCTTGCCCTTCGAACGTAAAAGATATTTGATGGTTTATGCAACCTCGCGTATACTCATGAGAGCCCTGGTGTCGAGTAAGGGTGTTAGGGATTGTGGTTTAGGGTGGTCGTGGGGTTTATCTGGACCCAGCAAAGCAGCTCTTGTGTGGGCTTTGGATTTTTGAGGCCTTCGTGCGTTTTATTACAGGACACCTGCAAAGGAATCATGTTAGAGGGTCTAGGTAAGGGTAACTTGAACCCTAAAACCTTTGAGGGCCTGTGTCGCGTAGGTTCAGGTGCAGGCTTCGTTTGATTTGTCCGTGAAGCGAGTTACCCGAACCCACATGTACATAAAATAGTATTTTTTGTCTTGGGGCTATTATTTTACTCACTTTTGGGGTCCAGGTAGGGGTTTAGAGTGGATCCCTGTATAGAGTGTCCCCGTATGTATGGTGACTGTAAGACTGTAAGAAGGAACAACTGGGGCATGATAGCATCATAAACAGGTCAGAGGATTTGACAGAGGTTTAGAGTTTAGGGTTTAGGGTTTTCTGCAACAGCAAGAAGAAGGCTCTTATGCATCTTTGCCGTCAGGATGCCACCATTCAATGCGGTCCCCAGTGTATCGTAACTGTCGCTAGTGCTTTGGTCGGGAGCTTTTTCGGATCCTCATGGTTTCCTGTGAACGGTGAGAGTTTGAACAAATTGGGCAAGGTGTTTTGGACCTTGGAGCGCCCCGGAGGCCGTATCTTGTGAACATGGAGATCGGGCAGCCCGCTCGCAAGACTGCGGGTGCTACAGCACGGCCTACCGCTCCTGAGAGACATACCCAACCACCATCTACAAGAGAACCTTGCCGCCCTGGACCGCAAACCCAGGAGACCACCGACCCCACAAGTAGAGGAGCTGCAATTGGCAATCAGCAAGGTGCAAAGAATGCAGTACTGTTTCAGGTTGTATTGGCATAGACCCACTATCTACCCGCTATATACCCTAGATAGGACCATATACCTCCATTTAAAAGGTACAAGGAGGGTCCTGGGGTACAGGGATGCCGATTGGTCGTTGCTGCCGTTGCTATTCCGAGGCACGGATGTTCGTAAGGATTGAGGACTTCCTGAACCCCAGAATAAAGTATGCACAAATCATGGCCTGTTTGGCTACCTTAAGGGGTTTTTGCTGCTACTTTACCTATTGTAACCCTAAACCCTATGCCTCAGAGGATTATATAGGGATATTATCATAGGGGAGTGTTATAGTGCTTAGCAGGGGGATACTAGCCACTTTCACTTGCTTAATGGCTCGCAGAAGTTGTCTGGGGCTTTCCCAAAATTTAGGTTTTAGAGAGATTCAGGTTTAGGGAGTAGGCTTTAGGGGTACTTTTTTTGGTTTTGGTAGGCTGAAGATGCAAATAGCCTTACTGCATACACCAAATTCGGAACTAACTGTTTCTCTACTACAACAAAGGGAACACCGCAACATAGTACAGCCCGATTGAAGGCGGGACCCGCATGCATGAGCACCCGTATAATTCCGGTGAATGTAATCCCAAACCCCGCAGCCGTAAACCCTGACCTATACTCATAAGCCTTAGAAGTCCTGAGATTGTTCACTTCCCTGCCCAGGCCCTGCAGAAGTTACAGCAGCAAAAGGCGCCAGTAATTTATCTATGCCCAAAAGTTATGAGCACAAAGAACTTATTCCGAATAAGGGATGGCTTTCCGGTTCAAGGCTATGGCTAAGGTTTTTTCATGCGGATACACGGAAAACGCACTGCAGTCACGTGGAAATTCGAAAGGAATTGTAGGAGCAGCCTCGGATTTGGAATTCCTTACCCTGTACCTAATAATCATATACTTACCCAAAACCTGTACTATAATTACTATTACCCAAATCCCAAGTACCTAATTATTGGGTACATGGACCCTCTGGGTTAACTGCAACCCAGATGCCGTTCCACATGGGCATATGACACCGAGGCTGTCTACAGCTACTTGCCCTGAATTCTGAGACCTAACCTTTCCATACCTTTCCCACCTTTGACCCTATAATAACCTAATATCTGCGGCTACCTTCTCAGAATGCATGACCTAGTCTCTTCACCTTTAATCTCTAGCTTCAGGATCAAGCCATGTAACTTGATGTGCCAGTCCAAAGTAATCCCATCCCCCACCCACCCCTGATGACGGATGCTCCCTCGCAAAAATGTATAATGATATGATATCGAGCGTGGTTGTTTTTAGTGGTGGGTGGGCGGGGGAGGTTCACTCTTAGGGGGTTAGCGCGTAGCTGGCAGTGTGGAAGTCTGCTGGTTTGAAGGTCTGAGTTTGTGCTAGCTTCAATTCTCAGAGATTTCCGGGCAAGAGTTTCAGAAGGACGTTCCAAGTCATAACCAAAAACGGGGAATCAAATGGCAGGTAAAATGGAAAATGGCATGGAAACCCTAAACCCTAAACCCTAAACCCTGATTGCTATGACCTTCCTTCCGTTGGCATGGCAGGTCCAAAATGCGACATCAGATGTCCTGGCAGAATAAAGATGAAAAACGGCAATGTGAACACGGGGTTCAGATTTTTGGCATACGGGGTACTCTACAATACCCAGAGGGTCCATGTACCCAATAATTAGGTACTTGGGATTTGGGTAATAGTAATTATAGTACAGGTTTTGGGTAAGTATATGATTATTAGGTACTTGGACCCTTAGGGATACAAAGGCCGTCTTCGGAAGGCCCATATGATTATCAGTGATTGTCACTTATGCTATGTTGGGGATCTGCAAGCGGACCCCTCATCTTCGGAGACCACCATGTGAGATTTAGGGTTTAGGGTTTAGGGTTTGGGAAGTAGGGGTTTAGGGTTTAGGGTTCAGGGCGTCTTGAGATCTGGACGGGTCATGTAGCAGCTTCTTGCATTGAACAGTAGTTTGGGGGATTGATTGCTATAGTTGTACAAGGCCTCTACACGGACGATATTGCCTGGACCCCAAAAGTAGGGAAAATGATAGCCCAAAACTCGTAAGCATGGCCCAAATGCCACTAACATCCATCTTTTTTGGGGGGTTCTGTTGGAAAATGTCTAAGCTTCAAACAATAAATAGACGTTGAGAGGTTTTGGGAACTTCGAGGCTTTGGGCGGAGACGACAAGGAATGCTTGTCACGGAAGCTTTAGGTTGAACCCATCCCCATGCGAAGGCTCTGTAAGGGTTTTGGGTTTAGGGTTTAGGCAAAATTCAGCAATGCCCTGTTCTCCAAAATCAAGTCTCTTTTCCCCCCCCTCATGAGAAACTACTCCACCCTCTTAATGAGTATCCTCTTCATGTGTACTGGGATTCTATTGGGATATATACCCCAATATACAATAGCAGCTTCCACTTCTCCATTATCCCTATATAACCCCAATATACCCTAAACTCTAAACCTTAATATAACCCAATGGGTCATGGTTAGAGATTGGGGACTATCTGCTTGAAGCGAGCTTTGGCCAGCGACTCTCAGGGCATTTCAACGAAAGTGCTGGGGGTTCCATAAACCCACCTGTAAAGTAGGCTTAGGGCCTCCCCTGCCTTGATGGAGTTAGGGCCTCTAGGGATCAGGATTTAGGATTTACGGTTTGGGCTCTAGGATTTGGGGTTTTGGGCTTAGGATTCAAGATTTATGGTCTAATTTAGGGTATAAGGCTAAAAGATTCAGGGTTTGCGAATTTAGGTTCAGGAATTATGGTTTAGGGCTTAGGACTTAGGGTTTAAGGTTTAGAGGGCGGAGGTATGGGGGCGGTACCCAACCTCAACCCTAAAGCCTTGAAACAAGCCAGCCCACACCGGTAGTTAGTTTCAATGGGGAGGTTTGCTTGCTACGGCTCCTCTTTGCAGACATGATGTAGGATAATCCTTGAGCAAGCCTCGGTCAGGTTTTTACATATGGGTTTTCTTGAAACATCAACTCCAGACCCGATATGATCCCAAGTTGGGACCTCGATGATCTCCTTGTCATCTCTAAATATCCTGAGACACCTTCGTATTTGCCCTCCTGGGCAGTGTCAAGGTCAAGTTTCATGCGGCTTTGGGCTACAGAGCCTTCTACCCTTGAATCTTAAGTTCTAGGACCCTACCTGGATCTCCCTCGCCATGAATCCTGATCAACATCCAGTTTCCTAAAAGCTGGGGGCGCACAATCTTAAGCTCGTGCTCAGCATCCCTGCACCACAGCTTACCTGGCTTCGCTGGATTTTAGAAGAGAGTGGAGGAATGGATTCCTATTGACTATTGTTATCATCATTATTAGTATTCTTATTACTGTTTCTAGTACGATTATGATTATTAGTACGATTCATATCAATGTGAAAGTAGCCCACGATTTAATCCAGAGTGGCTTGCTTGTTTTTTCCACTTTTCTTCATTCCCTTCTACGTACCAACCACCAGGTATCCCTGTCTCGGCGGCATCTGAAACAGCTTACTCGAGAGTCGTGACCCCCTCGGCCCTGGAAGAGCCAAACTCCAAGTTGGGTTCCGGATTTAGGGACCCTAAACCCTAAACCCTGCCTTAGACCCCTAAACCCTACCCCCAACCCTAAACCCTACTCTAAACCCTAAACCGCGCTTCCTTGTTGAGAGAGGGTACCTTGGGCCTTGGGCATACTGCATCGGAAACCTCCAAACTGTCCTGGAAATTGATCCGCCAGGTCCAGTTCCTGATGGTCCCCCCTTTTTTAGAGGGTGCATGTAGGTATGTGGTATATACTTGGGCCTTAAGGTAGGTATATGGGAACCACTTTGGACCTTCAGTATATACCATATAGACCTGAAGGCATCCTTTGGGTTCCATGCCTATGACAGAGACGCTGAAGTGTTTTGCACGCTCATTCGCTTCAGCAGTTTAAGATCTTTATGCAAGCTCTTTGCAATTTTCACATACGTTTCGGAGTCCCGTAGGTACCCCCCATTCTACAAGCCCTTCACATACCCTAGACTCTATAGAAAGTCTAGACCCTTTTCACTATGCATCCATAAGCCCGATATAACCCCAAACCCTATATATCCCTTTATGCTCTCCATATCCCGACATACCTAATTTATCCCTACATCCCTGAATACCCTTTTGGAGCTATGGGCGCCAGTGTCTCGCAAGTCGCAGCCGTCTGCCCGTGCGCGCTGCGCGAGCGCCCAGCTGAGTCCGAGAGCGCCAGCAGTAGCAAAGCCCTGCCCCAGAGGCCTTGGCAGGTTTGGGATTTAGGATTTCAGGTTTTGGGGATTTGTAGGGTTAAGGGCTTCGGGCTTGTGAGTTGGGATTCAGGGTTGAGGACTTGGGGTTCAGGATGGTGCCGGTACTGTCAAGGGTTTAGGACTGAGAGTTTAGGGTTGAGTCTATCTGACTCCCAAAAGTATGTAGAACAATGGCCTTTTGGGCTTTTCTTCTTTTAGGATTTTTTGGCTATTAGTTTACCCACTTTTGGGGTCCAGGTAGGGGTCATGGAACGCCGCAGTAAGCCTTAAGCCTTAGGTTTTTATGGTTGGGTCGTAGAGTTGGGGCCTGACTGGTTGCTGAGTGGTTTGGATGGGGAGGGTTTAGGTAGAGAGTTGGTTGCAGGTTGGAAAGTTGAGTTTGAAACAAGTAGGTGGCCTTCTTTCGCAAATCTTGGAAGAAAAAGAGTGTATTCGGGGTACATGAGGGCCACTGTTTTTTGGCAGCCCCCCCCCCCACCCCCCTTAAAACCTACTAAGTCCCCATGATCCAAAACCTAAACCCTAAACCCCTGTGATATTCTTTAGGGTTCCGGGTGTGGAAGCATGTAGTGTCTTGGCTTAGGATGGATAGAGCACGTGCGGCTTTGCAGTTGGAGTCTCGGAGCCCCTTCAAAATATTGATAAACCCACAATTTGCCGAGGAGCTAATCTTTGATGAAAATTATCTTGACACCCAAGAAGCCCAAAGCCCAAATCTGGGGGAGGGTCTTTCAGAAGAAGTTGGGTACTGCTGTTGGGCTCATGGCTTCAAAAGGATTAGGGTTTGGAGCTTTCAGTTGTGGTGTGTAAGATTTACTGCATTGGCTTTGGGCTTAAGTAGGGGTTCGAGGCTGATATGGAGACCCCCATGAATCTCAAGCTCCAAACCCTCAAACCACATGGTTTTGGGGTTCCGTCCTTAGTTGGGACTTGGACGGGAAAACGTATCTTAGAACCAATGCCAAGAGCCCTGCATATGACTAGAGGGGCTTGGGAGCCCCAACACACAAAAATAGGACCCTATTCCTAAGATAGTTTACAGTTGCCTGACGATGGCAACGCGATGTGCGCAGCGCCTTATTGAAAGTATGAAATAACCCTGCAGCAACCCTTCGTAGATCAGGTCGCCTGTGGGGTCCCCGTTGTAACAGGGACCTTTACATTTGGGGTACTCAAAAAGGTAGCACAATTGTGACGCCCTCCGCATGCAAAATTGTAATTGTGAATGACATGTTGAATTCTCGTTATGGTCAATGCCAGAGATTGGAACCTGGAAGCAGCAAGAATCAGGCTCGCATGCCTCAAGTGCAAAGGTTGTTGGGCTTTATCCCTGAGGGAAAGCAAGAGATGACTCCATGTTCATGAGACAGTGCTAGGCTTCTTGTGGGAGATCCACTTCCTTGGATGGATGAGCGGGTCTGCATGCGCATATAGTTAGGTGGGCATGTTTAAACATCTGATGATTATGTACCACCTGACATTTCTTTTCATATAGACCCTCTATTCTATACCCCTGGTTCCTTGTCAAGCTGAGTTGTGTCAACATGGAGCCTTTTTTTGCCCTGGTTATTGCGGATCCTAGTATACAAGCCTCTGACAGTCCGAAACCTTAAACTCACCGAAGAGTCCAGACACACATCCTTTTTTTGTATAGCACTTGGGACCCAAAGGGGAAACTATGTATAGCTACTTTGGGATCTATGTACATGCAGTATAGGCAGCCGGACCCTTCAGCCTCTGAACCGAGCGCAATGGCACCTAAACCCTAAGCCGTAAATGACCAAGTCAATGGGCCAGGCTCCGTGTCTGCGAGCTGTTTGCAGGAATTGGCGGCTGGCGTGTCTAGGCAAAAGCCCAAAACCTGAACAAGTTGAGGGAATGCAATTGTCGTCGTCGCCGTTTTCGTCATCGTCGTCTTAATCGTCGTGGTCGTCGTCAACGTCGTCGTCGTCGCCGTCGCCGGCGTCGTCGCGGCCGCGGCGGTCGCGGTGGCGGTGGCGGTTGTGGCGGTTCAGCGGTGGTGCTGGTGGTGGCGGCGGTGGCAGTGGACCTGGCGGCGGGGGCTGCGGCGGCGGTGTTTCTAGAGTAGTGAATTTTCAGGGCGGAGGGCTGCAGGGTTGATGGCTGCAGGCTGATGGGTTGAGCGACACGGTGATATTTTGAGGTTCAGAATTCTCGCGGGACTGCCTATACTTGGAGTCCCGGTGTAGATGTTATTTCACCTTTGACAACTCCTGAACCAAGAGTCTTGCATGGCCATGGGTGAATAACGTAAAGAGTTGTTGGCAATTCAGAACTAAGCCTTCTTCACTC